TGTCCTCTTCCTCTACTGTATTTACTAAACCGGTTCTCAAAACAAAAAAACAGAGCAAATTAAAACTACTTTTTCTGGTCTTAGGAAGAATTATCAAAAATAATCCATTACTATTTTTTTTCTGTTCCTTATTAGCGGTAATCACTGCCGTTATTAACTTTAACATTAGTGTTAACGTAAAAAATTTACTTCTTCATAAAGAAAAAACTCTGAGCGAACAAGTTATTAAGGAAATCGAAAATGAAGGGGGGGCAGAAAAAAAAGTCATTGAGAAAAGGAGAATTAGGGAAATATTGGCCGAAAAGACGGACGAAAATAATAAAAAACAAAAAGAAGTCAAAGAAAAGATTGAAAAAGAAATAAAAGGAGAAGGCTCTTTAACAAAAGAGAAAGCTAAGAAAATAATTGAAGAGGCTCGGGTAGGAGGACGAAAAATTAATGACCCCAGTCAGAATGATTTTGAATTTGAGTTCAATTTTTTTGGTCTCCGCTGATTTAAAACTGATAATTTAACCATTTGGTGATTTATTACTTATTCTCTAATTCTCATTTTGGTGGTGAAGGCTCTTTTTTCAGTGCTTCATTATTACTGAATGAATTATGCTTATGACAGTGTAGAGCGGGATTTAAAAAAAGATTTATTTCGCCACTTTGTGCGGGCTAAATACACTAATTCCTCCGAGGTTTCCCGAAATTTAATTACCCAATTTGCCGATGATTTGGACGAAATTGCGTATAGTATCTGGTTTATTCCTAATCGCTTAATTTATGTGGCATTCTCTATATTTCTCTTGCTTAAATTTGACTTTAACTTTGGGGGAGAAGGAACCGCCCTGCCGCTCTTGGCAATTATGCTAGGCTTGTTTACCGTTTTGTTTGTGGTTGAAATTATGCTCTTCAAAAGAGCCAGCAAATTAAATCTAGCAGCGAAAAAAAGACAAGAAGAAGACAACAAAATTATTTACGAACGAATTAACAATTTAGAGTATATTAAGGCAGTTTCGGGGGAAAAGTATGAAGAAGAAAGAGTTGACCGACAACTGGACTCAACTTTCCGTCGAAACAAAAAATCACTCTGGTTTAGCACGATGTTTAAGGCGGTTCCTCAATATGTGGTTATTCCGAATATTCCGATTATTTTTATGGCATTGACTCTGGTTTTTTATTCCAAAAATGACAAAATGGGAGCGGTATTTCTAATTGGCAATTTTGTCCGGTATTTTCTTTCAGTAAGAAGTTTAAATAGTGAAGTCAATAAGATAATTGAGGCAATGTTAACTCTGGACGAACTTTCTAGTAGTCTAACCATCGTTAATGAGAGTGCTAAAACTTTAAATCGTCAAACTACCCTGACTGTACCGAATGTTCCGGCCCGAAATCTTCCCTTCAAGAACGGCGATATAATTTTTCAGAAGGTGGTATTTGCCTATCCCAAACGACCTCACCAAAACATTTTACGAAATTTTTCTTTCACTTTTCAACAAGGCAAAATTTATGGCATTGCTGGCAAAAATGGGATTGGCAAAAGCACGATCACCAAAACCGCCCTCAAACTTTATGATTTAAAAGCGGGGCAGATTTTTATTGGGGAACGTAGTATCCGCGAAATAGATACCACTAGCCTTCATCAACACATTTGCTACCAAACTAATCGTCCGACTTTTTTCCGAATGAGTATTGCGGAGAATATTTATTATCCTAATAAATATGACAAAAAGGATTATAATAAGTTAGTGAAAGCAGCCAAAAAAGTTGGAATTTATGAATTTATTACTAAACTACCGCAAGGATTTGATACCGTTTTAAGAGAAGGGGGCAGCGACCTCTCGGAAGGACAGAAACAGCAAATTTCCGCCATGAAAATGTTTATTAATGACTATGATATTTACATTTTGGACGAAATATTAAGCAATGTTCATCCTAATCTAAAAGGAAATATTTTAAGCAATATTTTTGTGAAATTAAAAGGCAAAACGGTCTTGGTAATTGACCATCATTATGAAATATTTCAATATGTTGATTATGTTTATCAATTTACGGGTGAAAGGCTAATTAAAGATAAGGAAAGTTTTTTTACAAAAAACAAAGAGGAGGAAGAAATCGAGAAGTAAAAAGCAAAAATATAAATTATAATTACAATAAAATTTATAAAATTAAAATATGAATACATCAAATAGAAAATACAATTATAATAAGTGCGACGAGTGCGGAGGAACAATGTGTCCTTATGTCTATAAGGGACGAAATAACAATTACTTATGCGGAGGAACTTGATACAATAAAGGTTGCGGGCAAAACATTTGCTTCACCTGTGGTAAAAGGGAAGAAGAAAAAATTGAGTGACGGGAGGACGGAACAGACTGTTGTGGCAATAAAAGAGTAGAAAAAGTTTGTATTCCAATGTTTAGCCAGTTTGAAAGAGATGAAAACAACCCAGATAGAAAACTAAATGTTTTATATTGTGATGAATGCCAGGGAGAAGCATTAAAAAGTCCGCTAAAATGAACGAGGGAAGATGAAGAAAAAGAAATCCAAAGGGAAAAGGAGGAAAAAATCCAAGAAGAACGAGAAAGAGAAGAAAAATTAAATCAGCAAAAAAATCTTTTTTTTCTGGACGGACGGGCGGATAGTAAGAGCGAGAGTAAAACGGTGCGAGATTATGGGGCGTTCCTGGGTAGACAAAAAGGTCAGAATTATTATTTAATGATACCTTTTAACCATCCGATATGAGATAACGAAAAAACTGACCCAGTGGTAAAAAAAGCAGTCGAAAATTTTTGATGAGATGGGAACCTAGAAGACTTTTTTATAATTGAAGGAGTAGAAAACATTCCGCTTGAAAAGGCTCCATCAAATTACTGGAATCGGTTAAGCAGAAAAGATAAGCCGATTTTTCATAAAATTGTTGGGTTAAATGATAAAATTACTATTGCTGAACATAAGAGCAATCAAGAAAATCCTGAAAAACAAGTGGAAAATAAACCAACTGGCAATTCTAACTCTCAACCAAAAGAACTAAACGATAAAACTCTACTTCAATACTTTCAACAAAAAAATATTAAATCAATTAAGATTGAGAATGAAAAGTTGATAATTAAATACAATGGTTCTCAAACTGAAACCAAAGACATAAATAATCTAGAATTAGAGCAAATAAAATCTTTTGCCGAAAAAATAGGAAAAAATGAACTATCTTTGGCAGATTTAGAGCAAAAAAATAATCAGTCTAATACTCCCGACAAATCCAATAAAGGAATTTATATTAGTTTAGCAATTGGAGGAGCATTAGCCATAGCAATTATTGCCTACTTCTTACTTAGAAATAAAAAAGAAAAATAACCAATGCCTAGCATTTGACAAATTTTAGGATGATTATTACTGATTGTCCTATTTGTCATTGGCATATGGTATAAACAGTATCAAAGGTCAGGAAAGGCAGGTGAAAAAAATACTTTAAGAATAATCAAAAATTTTTTAAAAGACAATAATTACCGAAAGGATGATTATTTGTTAGTTAGTAATCTAATTTTACAAAGAGAAAATTATTGAAGTTGTGAAATTGATATTCTTTTGTTAACTAGGAAATGAGTTTATATCATTGAAGTAAAAGATTGACAAGTAGGAACATTAAGAGGTAATTTTAATGACGAATACCTAGAATTATCTTGGAAAATAAGAAGGCGGAGGAGACTTTGGCGACAAAGGGTTTATTCTCCTTTTTATCAAAATGAAACTCATATTAAAAGATTAAAAAGTTATTTTTCCTTTAATAATTCTAATGTTTTAGGTATTGTTGTTTTTAACAGTCCTAATTTAGTTTATAATCTAAAAAGAAATAAAAAAGTTGTTTTAGAAAACAAGTTTACATTAGCAAATAATAGCATTGGAAGGGGAGTTGCCGATGTCCTTGCTAGATATGAAAGCCAAAATACTCAACTAACTTCTTTCGAAATATTAAAGGAAAAGATTAGTAAGGAAATTATTAATCCCGATAAAAGCCAAGAACATCGTGCTTGGTCTAAATCGGTTAAGGCAGGGAAAATAGAAAGGACATAAGGTCAATTTCCCTCCGCACTCTTTGCACTTCCTTTCCCCCTTCTTCTTGCCAAGAAATATCTTTGTCAGTCTCCTAACTGATTTTTCTGAGTTAAAGGAATAGGTAAATATTTACAAAAAAGATTGATAAAGAAAATTAGTCTTCAAAAATTAAGCAACCATTCTGACACTACTCAACCACTAAATCCCCAGATAATAATGCTTGATGGATAGTTTGTGGAATAGGCGGAGTGCTAATAATTATAGTAATTATTGGATTATTCCTAAAAAGGAAGAACAAAACTAAAAAACATTAACTTCCTTTTACAATTAACATAACAATTAAAATCACCATTAGAAAAACAGCCAAAGAAATAATAGCGTAGAAAATGTAAATCGAGAAATTGTTATTACATCCCCCCTGATTTATTTTGGATATATTGCGA